ACACCTTCAGCACCGCGAGCGTCCCGGTGGCGGAGATGCCCATGTACACGGGAGTGACGTCAGCGGCGCCCTCCTCCACCGGACTCAAGGCGCGCTTCCAGACGCCCCCCAGGTGGTCCGTGAAGTGACGCGGCAGGCACCCGGCGGCCGCCTCCAAGCTGGCCATTTCGCTTCCTGGCGCAGCCACCGCCACGTCGCCACGGAAAGAGCCCCGCAAACTGGTTGTATCGCTGCTGACGGTGCCCTTGCCGGTGGCACTAGAGACGGCGTCGCTGGGCGCCACGTCGTCAGGCTCGCCGCTCGCCGGGCGCGGCCGCCGCGCGAACGGTGCCGAGTCGCCCCGCGCCACACGCGCCACGCACTCGCCCTTGAGACGCTCGGCCTGCGACGACCTGCACAGCGGCGGCTCCTCCGCAAGGGCGGACTGCTCCACGGCTCTCGCCCTGTCCCACCACCGCAGCGTCTCTGTCACTGACGTGTTACGTGTTTTTTTTTGGAGATGCATGTTTATACTGCGGTGAATTATACTATTTGTCCGTCAACATCTATACATGCCTGCAACATTGGGTGTCTTTCCTTAATTGAAGGGAGATGCTCTGTTTTTATATTTTGTTGTGTGAAAAAAAAGTAGAAGCATCATATCAAAGGGAGGTTTTACGCATAATACGTGAGCAGCAGAGACCTTTATAAAATACAAAGGGGAAACAACTAAGAAAAGTTGCACGGTAAGAAGTGGTGTCAGAGGTCAGTTAAACTAGTGACGGAATTCATTACTAACCCACGAGTCGTACATATATTAGGGACCGTTCATGTTTTCACCAATTTTCAAAAATTAGTTTTTACACAGTTTTTTTTCTTCTTTTTGTTGCGTCGGACACACAGGCTCGTACTGGGGCGGTAAAGTGAGGAATAATATTGACTGGGTGCAATAAAACCGAGTGAACATTTTATTGAAGGAAGGTCTAAATTACGAAAAAAAAAAAAGAGACAAAGCAGGGAGGAGTATGGAATGAATGTTTTCCAGTTCGCTTCTTAGTCAACTTTTCTCTTTGTGCCGTTCACTATCCCGTACTCTCTGTAGTAGCGACATTGGTGAAACTACCAAAGGCTGATCACACACACACACACTCACACTGCGGGGGAGATATATATATATATTGAACGCTCAAACAAAAAAAAAAAATAGCACTCCGGCGCCTTGCTACGGCAGAAAATTAACACCAGCCCTTCCAATGTTGGTCATACACCAATGAAAATGTCCAAAGAGCGACATATTTTTTCTAGTCACATAGTGAAGTCGCGTTGAACGGAGCGCGGGGGCGTATGCCACCCATGCATAGATTGCAAAGATTTCGATGAGGGCCACAGACCTTCTCCTGTAGCCGGCTCTTTTAGGACATCGTCCATAGTCCATAGAAAACCGAAAGAGGCAAAGCAACAAAAACAAAAAATAAAAATAAAAAGATGAGGTCTGACATGCCCTAATGTGTGTGTGCGAAGAAGAACGTGGAAAGCTCTGTTATATGCGATCACACCTTCCTGACTTTTTCACTGCATTCGACTCAGGAGCTGCAGAAGCTCGGAAGCTGTTTTGCGTCCCTTGGGATCTGTCACCAAGCAACTTTGTAGTACCTCTTGAATGATGGCATCTCCTTCCCGTGGAATTTCCACCAGTGCAATGCTTCCTTGAACTTGGGCTTCTTTCATGCGATCATAGTCTGAAAGAATAGTTGCAAGGTCTGGGAGAGTTTTCTTTGTGTTTTGTTGCCGGGTGTTGTCATCCTCAGCGGGGGAAATGTCCTGCTGCTGCTGTGTCGCCGCCTTGTCAATCCAGCGCCACGGCATTTGGTTTGTAATCAGCTCCAGTAAAATGACTCCCACAGCGTAAATGTCTGCTGCTGCGCCGCCATTACCGGTGGCAAAGACCTCCGGACTGCTATAAGCCCATCTATTACAGCAAGATTGCGGCCGCAAGCTCTCTGGCGTCATTGAGGCTGCTGCCTCTGCGGTACATGCCGTGCTGGCTCCATGCAACTTGTATAGACCTTCCACAGCCACCAGAACAGCTTCAGGTCGAAGACAGCCGTGAACGAGACCACGATTGTGTAGATATTCCAGGCCCCGCAATGCACTTACCAAAAACCGCTTTATCGCCATAAGTGGCAAGGGACGGCCGTAGCGTCTCAGTGTGTCACGCAGCGATCCACCTGGAACATATTCCATGATAGAACACACATATTCCTTTGATTGACCATAGCCAAGAAACTGTACTATGTTCTCGTGGTAAAGTGTCAGTGCATGTGCCCAGACGCGTTCAAGAGTTTCCAGGTCAGCAAATCCACACTCTTGGAGCGATGCGATTGGCACAAATTTGAGTGCCGCGAGAGTTCCTGTATCACTGATGCCTAGAAAGACAGAAAATCGTCCGTACTCAGGGAAGCTTTCAGCTGCGCGTTTCCACCGGACATTTTTCTTGTCCCAAAATTCATGCATGATGCTTCGCCCTGCCGATGAGACTCGCGCCTCTGAGGATCCGCTTGAGGTGTCACTGTATGTGGGTCGTCGCCGTGAGCCGCGCGGGGTGTGCGGGGGATGGTGCACCCCCGTCATTGTGGTTTCGCTGTGCGCCACTGAGACAGGCGACCACCGCGATGTCGTGGTGTCCACACGATCTGAGCCCAAGTGGCGCCGCTCCGGCGTCATCGCCCCACCCGACCTTAGGTCGCACTCCTGCACCTGGGCCAGTTGACAACGGAGGAGGCACATCAGCTGGGGCGTCACATACGGGGAGGCGAGAAGGCTTTCAAAACACATGCGTGCCTCCGACGACGCCTTAATCGTCAGGTAACGAAACCCCTTCAAATAGGTCTCCTCCACGCACTGCCACGATGACTCATTCACGATGTCCTCAATAACAATGTGAAACGTGGCTTTAGGCGGCATGTCGGGCGCGTGAACACGAACGGATGCAAAAGGAAGCACATGCACACGGGAACGAATGAAGGGAACTGTAGAATGAAGTATGGCAAGCGAAACACCGTAGCAGCGCTGCACCTGTATCACATCCGTACTTATGGTCCTGCCCCATAAAACGGGTTCTTTCTTCTCAGGGCCACCGCAGACGCCAAAGTGAAAGACACCACTGTCAACAAGAATGGCACAGCAACGCCTTACGGCATCAGGGAGGTTTCGATGGATTTCAAGGGCGCAAAACGTTGCGTCGATCTTATCGGAGTGGCTTTCTCCCCGACGAGGAAAATTCAAGTTAAAGAGTTCCGGCAGAAAGACATCAATGCCTCCTCCGTACTTTCTCGCTGCCTCCACCACGATATTTGCTGTTTCTCTTGTACACTCCACGATCGTTTTGATGTCCAAGATGTGCACGGAAACCACGGTACACATGATGTCCTCAAAGACGTTAATTTTATCTTGTGGGCCACGAATCAGCGTTGCCCCAATCCACGTTTCTTTTGACTCGGGCATGAATGCCTCATTGCTACCCTTACTTAGCAGGTCCTTATCACTTGCCTCATTCTCAACGCGGGTGTCCATGTAGTGTGATCCCCGTTCGTCATCAGTTCTAGGCCTTAACGGTAGCAGCCCTTGGGGCAAGAATGAGCAGAGGTGACACATTTGCTCCTTCAGTGAGGCAGCCACGCTCTCTAGTAAGTATATTTCCAGCAGCGCAAAACGTCGGCCTTTGTTATCCGCGCCCATGGAAGGTTCATTGGGTGAATTCGCATTCACCTTCGTCGCCCCACGAAGCTCTGCCGCAATATTGTGCAATGGACGACTGACGAAGATGGTGAGAACGGCATAAAGCAGCAGAGTTGACGACAGTGTGGTGAGGAACGCGCCAAAAAAACCGAGTAAATGAGAAGTTTGGAGGCGGTCACCGTAAAGGTGATGCGCCGCAACGAACAAGAGCATTGAGGCATTGTGCTCAGAGTGCGTCAGGGAGACGCTAAACGTGCCGTAGGATCCGCGGTACGGAAACTTGATAAAGAAATCCTTCCCCCTGTGGACCATCGCCAGAACCTCCTTCATCTGCACATGATGAATTGCCGCGCGCATTAACGGATCATCCAAAGCCCATCCTTTGCGTCGAGAAAACACGTTCCCACTCTTCCCTTCACCGAAATAAAGGTCTCGAAGCACATGCCCATTCTCTTCCTCACCTTTTGTGCCAACTGGGATCGACCCAACTCCGAAGTCCCCTTGTTTGTTCCCGAGCTTCCACTTCTCATGACAGTTGCTCGCGACCAGCGTCAGATTTTCGCCATTCTCGCCATTCTCAAGCAGCATGACACGGGTTGAATGGAGTGGTCCAAGTTTGTCCATTGAGACTTGGTCAATCACCCATCTAAGGTCAAGTCCAACTTTCAGAAACCCAACGGAGCCATCCTTCTCAAGAAACGGGTAAGTGTATACGTACCGTGCGCCGAGAAAGTTTTCCATCATCCACATTTGCGTTTTGGGTTCTTGTCCGGCGTCCAACTCCGCCTTCCATGCCTGAATTAGCCTCATTGTTTGAGTCAAATTATTTAAAAGATCCTGCAGTTGAAAGGGCGCGCGAATGTTCTTCAGCACCAGTGGCGGGTCCGTCAAACTCATGTTTATAGGGTCAATAGCGACAATAGAAGCAAATGAACGATCAACTGGGGATCGATTAAATGTGGCTAGATAGTACGAATGAAATCCCCTTGAACAAAGCGCAATATCGTCACGCTTGGCAGAGACAATGTAGGCGTGGGTCAGTAGCCTGTACCGATCCATGTTCTGTAACGCCGCACAAAGACGCTGCGACATCGGAAGGCCCATAGGCACCCAATCATCGTTAGGGCTTGGATGCCGCTCGTTTCCAATGTACAGAGCGACGAAAACGTTTGACAAGACACCAGCAACATTTAGCGCCCCCTCTAGCTGTGAATGGATCTCAAGACGAAGATGTTTGTGAATCTCCTCAACGGAATCGCTGATGCTAAACATCGTCACATAATACGGTGTTAGTGCGCAAAACAGCGACAAACATACAAGGACCAGGCAGTACGGTACTAACACACTTGCTAATGGTAGGCTTCGCGTGCAGCGCTCCCAACGGCCTGTCTTTTCTGCTGAATTGTGGTTTCCGCTCCCCTTTCCGTGCAGCTGGAACATGTCAGCGCCCACATTCGTTGAAGCTTCCGGAATCACGATGCAAGGACAAGCAGGTGTTCTATTTGTGCCTTCACTTTGCGAAGGCAGTGCTTTGACGCCGATGGAATCAAACGATGTCTGAGCATGCGGGACTTCCTGCGTGGTTGACGTCGATGGTTGAAAAGGGAGACTCACACTACTCGCATCAGCAACATTGGCAGCCTTTTCACGGCCATCACCGAAGTTGCACGAAATATCCAATTGGCTGGCGGTAATGGCTTTCCTTTGCGGCGTCGCAGAAGCCACTTTGTGGTCTTGTGTTCTGGGGCCTCCTTCCTCCGCTGCGGAGTATCCATCCATGTCACAGGATTCGCTCTTCCGTCGGTGTCGTCGTCTCGGTGAGGCCTCTGTGGAGGTCCAGACGTTAGACACAACTGGGTCATTTGCTGCAAATGTCGGCAGCGCAGGCGCGTCATGCCGCACGCCACTACTAAAAGAATGCAAGACACTGCCTTCGTTTTGGTGAGTACCTGTAACCGCTTCCTCCGTATTCCCCACTGGAGAAAAAAAAGGCAGTTTTAATAGTTGACTGCGTCCCTTCTTTGCCCGCGAAGCATCCGCAGGCACACACGTTGGATCCAAGTGCCGTATTGCCGCAGATGATGTCGCTTTAGTGTCACGCAGCAACGGTGAGCACGGCGTCGCTGGCGACGTTGGAGTCGCGTTTCCCGCAATGCGCGAGTTCTCCCTTGGCGACGGCGACGACGACGACGACGACGACGACGACGACGACGAGGAGGAGGCCTCATGTAGACGACGCTGCAGATCTTGACGCCAACGGTCCGTCCAGCGCCTGTCAAACTCAGTTGCGCAGCCCGCGGCGCCAGAATGAGAGGCCGCCGCAGGCGACGCCTTCTTCGGCGCCCTCTGCCCACGCTTCTCTCTGCGTGTCATCCCCTCCATCCTCCTCCCGCCTTGCTTGGGTGCCACCCTGTTACCGCGGCACAGGCACAACAACGTACTACTGGCGCAGAAATCGAATGCGTGTGTGTTAAGGAGAGCGGTGTTGGACGTACTAAAAATAAATACAAAATGCAACTTCCTTTTGAAAGAAAAATTTTAAAAAAGTTCAAGAACAAATATATATATATATATATATAAATTCGCTAAACACGGACTGCTAAGGCCCAGGGCCAATGAGAGGAAGATGACTGAAGTATGCGTGCACTCCAGCTATAGCGTGTGTGTGTGTGTGTGTGTGTGTGTGTGTGTGTGTGTGTGTGTGTGGTAGGTGAGAGAGAGAGAGAGA